GAGGCAAGTGGACCAAATCCAGGTCACAGAGTTGGTTGAGTCTTCCCATAGAAGAGGCAGGGTGGATGATACCCTACGGGTAGGGGAAGGTGGACCAACCTCAGCCTTGCCACGGGCCAGGCTCCTGTCCCTGTATGGCCCTTGGCTTCCTCGTCCTTGTCCTTGGGGCTGAGCTTTCCTTCTCCCTGGCCCCTCCCAGGATGCTCCTGGCCAGCTGTTGGTCAGGAGTGGGGTCAGAGTCTCTGGGTGGAGGCGGTGGGAGGATGGGGTTGTTGCTGAAGAGAGGGGCTGTCTGGAAGTAAGGACCAGACCAGACCAGACCACGGGATGGAGTGTCAGGGTCATCCTATTCCTCTCTCACTCCCCTGCCTCACCTTTGGGGACTGGATCTCTGATTTCACCAGGGCCCCAGCCCTGGAGTGGCCTCTGCTCATTCACAGTCACTCATGGCGTGTGGCAACCTTGTGAAACCACTGTGGCAGCTCCCAGGCTCCCCTGCCAGGCCCCTCACCTCTCCTCTGCCGTCTCGAAGCAGTCAATTTGGGCAAACACGTCTGCAATCTCGTCCTTGAGTTTCTGTGGGGTGGCAGGGGCATGACGGGGGAGGGAGAGTCAGAGGGTGGAGGAAAGGGGTCCACCACCCTCCACCCTCCCACACAAGAGCTCCCAACCCTGGGTGTGAATCCCAAACCTGTCTGCCTTGAGCCACTACTGAGGGACCTTCCCCTGGCAGATCCCGTTCCCAGATGTCTTATATCTTCAAAATCCCAAGCCAAACATATAGCCTCTGTTTACACTTAATTCTCCCAGGGCTCCTGTGGGGTGAGGGAGCCCCCAGTCACCACCCTCTTCCCCACTCTATTTCCCGCCCTCCCATCCCTCGCCTCTGCAGCTGAAAAGTGTCCTGCCCTTGAGCCAAACCTTCCTGACAAGCCCTTCTCCACCCAGCTGCCATTTTTCTGAAGCACAGCTTGGTGCCTGCCTTTCTTCTGCTCAAACTCCGTCCATGGCTCCCTCCTGCCTTCCCAGTCAGGAGGCACAAATTCCTGCCTTCTGATCAGGCCCCGCCTCCTCTCTGGTTTCCTTCCATCCAGTCCCTCGCCCTAGATCCAGTGCCCATGATGAGCCAGGTACCATGGGTACATGAGGGTGCAAGACAGCCCAGGCCGTCTTCTCAGGGGCTTTGCAATTCCAGTGGAGTTTACAGGAGAGGACACTGATGTGCAGAGAGGTGAAGTGACGTGTCCAACATCTGACTCCAAGCCTGTGCTTTCCCCCATGCCCCACCCCCCAAGTCTTTATCATCTTGACCTGGCAAGAGGTGCCCAGTGGCAGTGGAGATCCTCAACTCTGCCAACACCAACACCGGGCAGACGGGGAGAAGTGGCAGCTGGCCCAGCATCCCCCCGCAGGGCAGCAACATGAGCATCTGGCCAGAGCCCCCGAAGGCACCCCTCTCCTCCTCCAAGATCTTTGGGATGAGGGTAATCCTGGGGGCTTGTCTTGGGACCCAGGATCAGGATGGGGCCTGGAGCCTCTATCTGAGCCCAGTCAGCTCCTGTCCATGTGATCTTGGCTGAATCCCTGAGTGTCTTCTCCACAAATAAAATGAGGGCTCACTAGCAAGTGTTAATTGAGCACGTACTATGCTCTGGCTATTGGGCTGGGGAATACAGTGGTGGGAAACAGACCCAGGCTCTCCTTATGTGGAGCTCACAGGCCCGTGGGGTTGGGATCATGGTGGTCACGGATCCAGTGAAAGGACCATGCAGAAGCAGTCAGAATAATGGTATAGAAAGAGCCTGGCATGTGGTAGGTGTAAATCACATGCTGAGTGAATGACCTTGTGCCTTTGACTTTCCCTAGAATCTTAGGGGTACATGGGGTGGGATGCGGGGGGGGGGCCCAGCAACTACAGCCTGGGGGGGGGGTGAGGGCGGCATCTAGGAGGAGAGACATGTGAGCCCAGAATAAAATAAGGAGAAGGCAGAGCCATGAGGAGGGCTTGAGAGAATCCCAGGTGGAGGGAACCAGGAGTGCAAAGGCCCGGGGGCAGGGCTGAGCACAGCACAGTCTGTGAACAGAAGCAGAGCATGTCTCAGACGGTTGCTGGGAATCAGATGAGCTAACCTCTGAGAAACTGGTGAATTGGCAAGTGCTGGGCACACATTGCTGGTGTGATCTAGAACAAATGGCCTACACTTTAGGGGAGATGAAGCTGAGGCCCAGGGTGGCGATGCACCACATAGGTGGCAGGAAAACCTGACATGCCGTGAGGGGGACAGAGCCCCAGGTGCAGCTTGGCACACAGTAGCTGCTTCATCAGTAGCCCCCTTTCCATCCCCCACTCTCCTGGCTGTCTCTGGGCCCTGGCGGCTGAGCCCAGGAGTGGGGAGGCCCCTGGGAGTTCTGTTCTCTACTCCTGGGGGCTGGGGCTGAGGCTACCTGTGGGCTGGAATCCGGCCCCGCTCTCAGCCCAGGCTGGGTCAGGAGTGAGCGCGGAGGTGCTTGAGCATGTCTGAGTGTCGGCTTGTGGGTGAGTGTGGTTTGAGGGCGTGTCGGCGTGAGCCTGTGTGTGGACAAGAGCATGTGTATCTGTGTGTGAGGCGAGCACACCTGGATGTCCTCCAGAAGCTGCTTCCGGTGCCATTTGATCTGCTGCAGCTCCTCCGTCTCCATGCTGCTTAGCTCCCCTGGGTCTGGAGAGAGAAGCACCAGTGGTCACTGGCTCATCCCTGCCCTCCCCCCCATCACTGGGCTCCAGCCACCCCAGCCAGCTCTCACTCCCCCAGGGCCCTCTTCTCTCCAGAAACCCATGCCTTGCTTGCCCTCTTCACTTTGGCCTTGGCCCAGGTGTCACCTCCTCCAAGAGACCTTCCCTGACTGCCCTGTCTAAAGCAATCCCTCCCCCACCCTCCTCTCCTATCAGCTTTATGTCTCCTCTACCCATCTGGGTACAGACCCCCTAAGCCATCTTGTTTACTTGCATCTTCTGTGTTCTACTCACTTCGCTCTCAGCCCCAAGAGAACAAACCCTTCAACAATTTTGCTTGCTGCTGCCTCCTCAGCCCCTAGAAAGAGCCTGACACACAGCAGGTACTCAGTACAACACTTGCTGAAGGCGTTTGTCCTTCCCTGGAACTTTAATTTACTCCTTCACTGGATCACTCATTCATTTGCATGACCAGGAAGTGGCGTCTCATTGTGCTTCACATCCCATTGGCCAGATGCAGTCACATGGCCATGGCTACCTGCAAGGGAGGCTGGGTAATGAGCCTTTAGTGGGGTGGTCCTGACAGCTTTACTCCGTAAGATGGGGAAACTGGAAGGAGGGGGGGACATTTCACAGTTCCTGCCCCAGACACTGAAGCTCAGAGAGGCGAGATGACCTGGCCAGGGTCCCAAAGGGACAAGTTGCTGAGCCAGGGTGGGACTTGGATTCAGCTGCCTACAAAGCCTGGGTTCTTCCCTCTTCGCCTAGAAATGAATTACAGGAGACACGGGGGTGCTGGTGTTCTGTGCGAGGTGGTGTTATAACCATTTCTACAGCTGAGTCAGCTGAGCCACCTCTACCTTACGCCAGGCTTCCTGTCCTATCTGTGACATTCTTCTGGTCGAAGTCTCCACAGACCTCTTATTCCTTAGAGGGAAAAGCCCTCATCCTGGTCCTAGGGCCTCTATAGTCTCCCTGGCTTTTCCAGTGAGCCTCACTCCCCATTCTCAACAAGAGCCGCCAGTCCAGCCTGCCCGCCCCACACTGCCCCCAGTGGTCTAACTCTCAGTCGTACTTCCCCACCTTTGCCTCTACAGCTCCTCCACCCTGGGATGCCTTTTCCTGTCTGCCCGCCCAAAACCTCCCGACTCTCAAGTCCTAGCTTTGGGAAGTGCCTAGTCTTGTTTCTTAAAGGTTTTACAAGGACAGATATGATACCTCCCAAATGAAAGCAGAGACACTATTGAGGGCTCCCTTTCCCGACTTCCCCCTCCCATGGACTGAGCAGCCATCCCGGGCTTTGAGGTGGAAGCAGGTGCCAAGCTAGAAGGAGCCCGGGCTCTGAGCAACCATGTGGAGAAGAGTCATCATATTCCCCTGGGCCAGCTACCCACTTGGACTTTTCAATGAGAGAGAAATAAGTTCTGAGAATGTCTCAGTCACTGTTTTTCTGAGTCTCTTAGTTACAGCAGCTATACCTGAAACTCAACAAATACAGTGTCCTTGTCTCTGAAACATGAACCATAACCTAGATGGTGGTTGTCTGGATTGAAAAAGCTGAATTTTGCCAAACACGCAGCAAGGATCTGATATATGGTCAGGGTGCAACACATGTATAATAGACGCCATCCAGGTCTCCCCTTCGGGACCAAGGCACCCACTCCCTCAGCTGCTGGGGGTGAGTGTGTATCACCTGCTGATGGCTCACAGCTGAGTCCCTGCCCAGGAACTTAGCCCAAATGGAGCTGCTTTGCCCAAGGATCTGCCCCTCCCACAGGGCAGTCACTGCATAAAAAGCCAAGACCCCTTGACTGGTTTTTAGATCCAGGCTCTGTTGACTGAAGAAGAGACCAGGTCCCCAAAAGCAAGGCTCCTGAAACATTTTAGCAAGTATATATGGTAATGATTCCCCTGGTCAAGCAAGCAGGGTGGGTCCGTCTGACTCACCAAGTTATAAAGTCAAATGTGCCCAACAGCAGTCCTTTCTAAGTGGTTCACCCAGAAACAGGTGTGAGCAGAGACAGAAGTCTCCAGTAAGCCCCAGGGACGGGTGACCCAGACCCGTATGTCATCTACTGCTGTTGCACCAGATCCCTCAGCTCACACCGTATCTTCATGGATGGGTCCCTTATGACCTTCTGATAAAGGAGAAAAATGCCTGGACTTGGTTCCAGGACGGATGGCTCAGGGTGTGGTTATGAGTTAAACTGGACAGTTACTGAATTACAGTTCTGCTCAAAGTGACCCAGAAAGACAGTGGGGAGAAGTCCTCCCAGTGGGCAGAGCACAGGGCAGGGCACCGAGTCATCTATTTCGTGTGGAAAGGGAAGTGGTGTGAGTAAGAACACATATGCATTCATGGGCAGTGGAGGATGGCTTGCCTTACTGGTCAGAAAGAAGGAAAGAAGGAAGACTGGGAACAGAGAGGTCTGGGGAAGAGGCAAGTGGGTGGCCCGATGGGAGTGGGCACAGAGTGGGAAGATGTTTGTAAAGCACACTGATGTTCCCCAGCAAGCACCCACCACAGGGGAGGCGCTAAACCACCAGGCAGACAGAATGATTCAGCCAGTTGACATCAGCCAGTCTCTGATTGGCCAGCCCAGTGCTGGTGCAGTGGTATCCAAATGAAGTAACCATGTGGCCCCTGTGGAGGTGTGAACTCCATCACCCAGGCTGGCCCTGCCACTGGCATCGCCCTGCCACTGCTGAGTATCAGACCTGCCAGCAACAAGGACCCATCGTTTCTCCAGAAGACCTACCAGCAACTTGGTGGCAAATCAGTTGCATTGGGTCCCTTCCCTTCTGCAAAAGTCAGTGATTCATCTCACCAGGAATCCACACATGTTCTGGATATGTGGTGGCCTTTCCTGCCCACAGAGCCTTGGCCACAGAGCAGTACTGTCCAAGGGCTGGACCTGCTGACTCAGAACACTGCAAAACCTCACATTAGACCCAGGGACCCTCTTTCCAGTAAAGGAGGTGTGGGAAGAGCATGTGGCCGTGGGACCTGCTGGTCCTCTCACGCATTTTACCATCAGAAGACACTGGCCTGCTCACTGGCCTGACAGAGTGATGGAGCAGCCTACTCAAGGTGCAGCTGAGGTGTCAGTTTGGAGACGTTATAATGCTTGGACAGCGCACCATCCTCCAGGGTGCATCATACACCTTAAGTCAATGACCATTAGATGGTGCTCGGTGCCCAAGAGGCAACCTACACGCATTTAGAAACAAGGAGCAGAAGGGGCTCCACATACCTTCTAGTGACCCCCTTGGGAGTTTTCCTTTCTGTCCCTGTCACTCTGAGCTCTGCAGGTCTAGAGATCCTGGTTTCCAGGAGAGTGAGGGGAGGTGGCACTTACCCCAGGGGACAAAGCAAGAGTCTCATTAATCTCTAAGTGCAAAAGCACCTGCTCCATGCCAGCAGTGCCACGTAAATTGTGTCATTTAATCCTCGTAACTCTTTTAAATGGATCTTTTTCAGTTTGAGACATTGAGGCTCAGAGAGGCGAAGTGACTTGCCAAGGGTCCCACAGCAGGGAAGTAGCAGTGCTGGGATCAGAACCCCAATTTGCCAACACCTAAGCCTCTGTCCCAAGAGAGGGGGATTCTGCATGCCGTTGGGGACATGCAGGAACGGAAGGCGTGAGGGGCCATCCTTGTGGAGACAGGAGCAGGGTCATAGTAGGGGAGGCAGCGCCAGAGGTGGGACCTGGAACTCCTCTGTCAGGAGGGGAGGGAGGCTGAGATCCGTGGTGGAAAAATCCAATCACCTCTAGCTGACTTTGGGGTGAAAGATCAGGCTTTTGTGTTTTGTCTGTTTGCTTTTCGTTGTTTTCCTGCTGGCTGGGGCTTGCGTTCCGAAGCCCTGCTTCTGGCCCAGGGCACACCTGCTGGTGGAGTCCAGGCAGGCTGCTTATTGGAGAGAAGCCAGGTGGGAATTTCGTGTTTCTATGGATAATCCCTAATGTGGACAGTCAAGGGGTGAGCTCTGGGGCTCCCCCTGGGTCCCAGGCCGGCTTCTCCTCTCTCCTCATCTCTCCTCATGGGTCATATTAGCTCCCCTTTCCTGTCCCGGGCCCAGGACTCACACGCATACCCTCAGCCTTAACCCCCTCCCAGAGCTTCAGACCCTTCCATCCCCCTGTGTCCTGACCATCATTTCACTTGTCACTGGGACTAAAACGGAACTCCTAGAATTTCCCCCCAAACTGGTCTTCTCCCTGAGTCCTCAAGCTCTGGGAATGGCCCCCCCAGGGACCCCAGGAGGCACCTTGACATGCACCTCTCTCACCCTCGTGTCTCCTCCACCACTAAGCCCTGTCCACCTTCTTTCTGTTTCCATGGCCCCCCCCCCAGACCCCCGGCTCCTCTCTCTGGTTTACTGAAGGCCTCCTGATGTCCCTGCCTCCACTCTGCCCCTTCCAGCCAGTCTCCTACAGCGTCCCATTGTCCTGACGATAAGACCCACCGGTCCCCGTGGTGCCCCACCCTCATCTCACAAGGCGCCCACTCCTGTCCCCGACTTGAAGCCTCCCGACCGCCCTTCCTTTGCCCCCATGTGCTCTCTTCCTCCACGGGCCTTTGCACCTGCTGTTCCCTGTGTCTGGGATGCCCTTCCCTCTCCTCTCTGCCTAGTGGCTCCTACTCATCCTCTCCATCTCCTCGCAGGGGCCCTCCTGTGCTCCAGCTGGGCTCCCCACCTCCCTCACCTTCTTCCCATCCCTGCAGCAGATCTGGGATCTTGCCTGATGAATAAGCCAAGCTGTTGGCGAAGGAAAGTCTTGCTGGTTGGGCACCTGCTCTGTTTCAGGCCCCGGGGGCTCCAGGCTTTTGCCGCCCACTAGCTCCTTTGAACCCAACCACAGCTCTGAAGGGAGGGGTTTCCAATCAGTCTGCAGATGGTGCGCCAGAGGCTCAGACTGGTTAAGTGACCTGCCCAAGGGGGCACAGCTGGGAGGTGGCAGAATGGGACTCACACCCCGGCCCATCTGGGGCTCTGTGGCCACAACCCTGACACTGATCTTCCGAAGCCAGACATCTCCATGCAAATCATCAAAACCCCATCAAGACACTAACCTTGGATATTCTGACACAGAAATGCCGACCATGGCTGACTGCCACTGAGAATGAAGATGGAGGCAGGATGATTGATGCTTAACGATCCCAGCCCCTTTCTCTTTTGGGGTAAGAAATAAAACGAGGCCCACATCGTAGAGCTGGGGACACAGTTTTCCCAGGAGAGTGGGACGGCGTGAGGGCAGTGAGGGCTCGTTTGCCTTTACTCTTCATGCAGTTCCTTTCGTGATTTGACAAGTGCATTCGTGAACCCTCTCAGCCCACTGTCCCCTTCTGTCAGGTGACAACTGTCCAAGTGCTTTGAACCCATGAGACAGTGCTGACAGCCCCTGGCCTGCTGCACCCATTGCGTGGTACATGGGGGCCTTACGACCCTGCACCCATTTGTTTAAAAGTGGGGATTTCGCCGCATTTCAGAGCTGAGGGCGCTGAGGTTCAGGGAGGGTGACAAGGACACAGTCTGAGGGTGCTCACTTCTGATTCCAAGCCTGGTGATGATGGTGTTTCAGGCATTGGTGCAGGTTGTGTGAGATGGATTTTAATAATAATAAAGTTAATAATAAAAACACAAAGATATTTAAATGATAGTAACAACCGCTGCCACCACAAACTCCGTGTACTCTGCCCTGGGCTGTGCTGTCCACCTCGCACAAGGGCCTGACCACTGACACCCCCACCCCCCCGCCACCACGACTGCGGCCGGGTGCCCTCCGCACCCAGAGCCCAGGCTGGCTGAGTGTGCCCAGGTACCGCCCCAGCCATCTCCCCAGCTCCTCTCTACTTCCCCTTTGTCCTTCCTCTTTCCCGTTGTATTTTTAGAAATCTGCTCACAGCCCCACTTCCAGGACAGCTGGCTGGCCTCGCTTCCCCTTTCCAGGCCAGGAGGAGGGTGCGATCCTGGGGTCCTGAAGGCAGAGGCCCCTCAGAGTCTGGGTGTGAGGGACACTGGGGCAGGGGGCGGCCCGCGGAGCTTGCCCTGCCCCAGCCCCCAAGGCCCTGCGGGGTGCATCGCTGCATGTGGCTTCCTCCCCAAGCCCAGCTGCCTCTATTTTTAACCCGCCGTCTTACTGCACCGGCCCCAGGACTGTCTTTGGTCACGCTGGGGCTTTGTTACCAGGACTTCTCAGCTTTTCAACAGACCCAGGGGGAGGGGACCTGCTTCTGGGTGTGACACCCCCAGATGGAGGAGGGGAGGCAGCTCCCAGGGGCCTTTGCCGCCATCCTGTCCTTTGTACAAGTGGGGAAACTGAAACCCACAGAAGGAAGAGGCCACCAACACTGGTAGGTTGGTGCCAAGCTGGGATCTGAGCTGGGTCAGGCTGACTCCCCATCCCTGTTCTTTTCCTACTTCCCCCCGCTACGGCCAGGGTGATGATGCCACTTAAGAGATGACAAATCTGGGCTCAGAGAGGGGAAGTCACCTGGCCATGGAGGAGTTTTGATTAAGACCGAGTCTGAGGAGCAGAGAAATGACCTTCCCTCCTTCCCTCTACTTCCTCCAGGAAGTCTTCCCAGATCTCCCCTGCCCCGGGTGGAAAGAGTCGCTCTGTCCCATGCTCCAGGTCTCTGCCAGTTTGCACATCTGCCCTGGGTCATTGTCTTGCAGGGTCTGTCCCTCCCTCCCCAACACCGTGGACCAGCAGTCCCCACAGGGTTGGGCCCACGGCCTCGTCACTGCTGTCCACAGCACTGCACAACTCAGGGCCTGCACACCAGAGGACTGCTTACAGAATAAGTGAAGGAATGAATGAATAGATGAACCTATCAATGGAGTCCTCCAATCTCCCAAGACGCTATCTGCAGCGACTCCATTCAACCCCTGTCCTTCCAGGCCAGCCTGAAGCGATGCAGTGACTCACCCTCTGGCCTCCCTCGGATGCCCCGCCCCTCCCCTCCCACACGGCCCAGGCTAAACTGGGGCTCTCTCTCCTCTTGCCTTCTTGTCCCCATTCTGCCACTTATCAGCTGCCCGACTTTGGGCAATTCCATCCTTTCCTCCAGTTCACCGCCGAGAACCTCAGTTTCCTCATCTGATTATGGGGACAACCATCCTAAGGACTTTAGTATGTGAAGACCCCAAGGAAAGAAGCAGTAATGGTGGAAAGACAGGCAGTCTGTCGGAGGATAACTTCACTGTCTCTTGCCACCCTCGCGTCTGCTGAGTGACCTTGAGCCAGGCACCGCTCCTCGCTGGGTCTCCTCTTACCTCCCAGTTGCCCCCTAAGATGTCTTCACGGAACCCCTGTAGTCCGTGAGCCACCTGCCCCCAAGAGCCCACTGGAGAAGAGCGGGGTTCAGGGAGAGAGCCTGGGACAGGGAGCCAGGGAGCCAGGGACAGGGAGCCAGGAGGTGGGGAGTGGTCTTGCCTCAGAAAGACTGGGTACCTCTCCGGGCTTCCTTTGTTCCATCTGTAAATGGGGGCTGTTAAAATGGATCGGTGGTTCTCTAACTGTGTTCTCCAGAGCCCGTGGGGCGAGGGTGGGGTCAGACTGCTCTGTATTAGGTTTTGCTTTAAGAAAGGGTTCTGTTGCTTACAGGGTTCATGTTATCTGAACCTGGGGAATGGGATGGCTCCTAGCAGCTCTTGTTTTCTGGAATTTCAGGCCATGCTGGAACATTCTTAGATGCAGGGCACAGAGACCTAGCCCCTCTCCTCTCTGCCTCACAGAAACACAACACAGTCCTGTCTGCTCCTGTCCAAACTGTGCAGCCATCTTTCCTTTCCCTGCAGACACACGGTCCTGCTCACCTGGCAGGGTCTCATCCATGGTCCCCTGCTGCTCAGACTTGGGCCTCTCTACTGGCAAGAAGCAGTGTCCTCAGCCACCCCACAGGCCACTGTCACCACCCCCAGAGGCCAAACAGGGGCTGCAGGGCCCTTGTGCCACCCAGGCAGTTACATCCTCTCCGACAGCATCAGCTTCAACACAAGCAACCTTTCTCAGGTCCGCCTCCGGGCCTTTGCACAGGCTGTTCCTTCTCCAAGAATATTCTTTCCCCAGAAACTCACATGAATCACTCCTTCCCTCTTTCAAGTCTCTGCTCAAATGGTGTCTCCTCTTGAAGCCTTCTTGACCACTCCTCCCATCTTCCTTATCATCCTTTACTGTTCTTCATTCTGCTTGTCACCACCTGACATGTTATATTCAGACATTGACTGTCTGTCTCCCTGTCTAGAAGGTAAGCTCATGAGGGCAGGGGCAGTGCCTGCTTTGTTCCCCGGACTCCCAGCCCCTAGAACACAGCTTGGCACCGAGCCTGAGCCCACAATCATTCGTTGCCTGCTTCTGCATGTCCCACCTGTGTTTCATCTAGTTACACACCGATGCCTGTGAGGCAGACACTGTTATCCCCATTCTACAGAACAGGAAACTGAGGCCCAGACAGGTTGGCCCGGGTGCTTACCTGGGTGGTACAGGTCCATTCTGAAGCCCCCGGGGAAGGGTGGCCTGCAGACCAAGCTGCTGCTCAGGCTGCCCGGCCGCGATGTGTCATCTCAGCTACAACAGGCCCCTTCCCGTTGGCCCCGCCCAGCCCAGTGTGGGGAGGAAGTCCTGTCCTGCCGGGGTCTGGTATGTAGGCTCTTGACGCAGCAGCACTTCCTAAAAACCAGCAGAGGTTTGAGTAGCGGGGACTCTTTGCATTTTGGGTGTGGGAAGGGAGGGACAGAGGCAACCAGACAGAGAGAAGGATGGAGGGATTAAAAAAAAGAAAAGACAGTGAGACAGAAACGCACACAGACACACACACAGAGGAAGATGTTTACTGGAGGACAGAACCTTCTCCAGGGGTCAGTGGGGACTTACTCAGCAACCTCACTGCATATAAGCTGAAGAGTCACTCCACCCGGACAGTCCAAGCTGAGTGAGCCCCATTGATTCCACCCCACAAGCTCTCTTTCATCAACTCTCCTTTGACAAAGAAAAATTAGTTCAGTGCAAGGAAAGACTTTGTTTCCCCTCAGTGAAATGCCTGGCTTTTTCCTGTCTAGTGATCACTTGGGCAATATGTTCAGTTTTTTTTTTCCCCTGGGCTGCTAGGAAGCTCAGTCAAATCTGAAGCTCCTTTTTACAGCTGTTCTGTTGTAGCATTCAGACTTTGAGGCCAGACTCAGCAGTGTGACTCAGGTCTGCCACTCAGAACCTGTGTGAACTTGGGCAAGTCATTTCACTGCCATGAGCCTCAGTTTATTTAACTACAAAAGGGGAATGATAACACCCACCCCCGGAGTTATGGAAAAGATGAAGGGAGACAATAAGATGTAAGATGGAAGAGAATAAGATGGAAGAGAAAGATGCTTGGATATTCAATAAACACCCTCTTTTTTCTCCTTGTGGTTTAAATTTTGGTTTTTGGTTAAAATTCACAATTTTATTACTTGTGCTTTTTTAGCAGGCTGATTCAAACACTTTATAGAAAAAAGTACAGTGTAAAGGAATATCTATAAAGTAAATGCTCATTCCTTGTAACTTTGTGGCACACGTCGTTTTATTCATCTCTTTCCCCACAAGTCTCGAGGCCCCATGAAGACAAGGTCAACTTTGTGTCCTGTCTCTGGTAAATGCTGGGGACCTAGAGGGTGTTCAAGTGTGCAATGAATGATGAATGAATGCGGGAAGGGCACACGGGGCAGAAGGCGTGGTTGATGCAAAAGCTGGCTGCAATTTCCACCCTTGCGTGTATCCATGCCCCTTTGTGCTATGAGGCTGCCACTCCTCCCATCAAGAGGTGGAGTCTATTTCTGCTCCTTTTGCATCTGGACTGGGCTGTGTCCTTCTTTGCCCACCAGATTGTGGCAGTAGTGATGTTACATGACTTTCGAGGTGAGACCTTAAGAAGCCTTGTAGCCCAGCTGCTGGGGCTGGCCTGCTGAGGATGGAGACTCATGGAGAAGAGAACAGAGCTTCCTTTCTGGAACACGTTTGACTAATTTGGAACTTGAGTGAGTGGCCAGCTCGGGACCCAGAGGCCAGGCCCACTAACTGCCGGCCTGGTGCTCTCAGGACTCTTCAAACTCACCCCCCATCCCCTGTCCCCCACCTCCCCCAGTTCTTGTCTAACTCAAGGTTATTTTCTAGGAAACCTGTTTAAATATCTTCACGGTAAATTAGATTTTTCTCAACAAATCTGGGCCCAAGGCACAAAAAGCCATTTCCTGGGTCACTTAAAATAAGAGAAACATGGAGAAAGTTGTTATTCCCTGTGCAGAAAATTGTTAACAGCAGATCTGAGACTGCT